CATAAAATTAATTTTATAACACAAAAAAACAGAAAAAATCATAAAACAAAAAATATATTTTATTAATATTAATTTCTATTAATTTTGTAAATAAATTTAATAATCAATTTAGTTTTAATTTAGGGTTTAAATTTTAATTTGTTTTCTAAATAACTAAAAAAACATAAAAATTAGGTTTTAGCATTTCATTCTTTTCCTCAATAAATATTTTTTTTCTTATTATAATTATTATTAACCATTAATTATTTTTGTAAATAAACTTGTAATTAATTAATTAGGGTTAAATTAGGTTAAACGTAAACAATTTTCTTTAATAATTAAAAACAAATTTAGAACTAGGGTTTTATTTAATCTTTAAATTCAATTAATCCTTTTTTTCATAAATATCAAAAACATCAAAAATAAATTCTTTTCTTTATTTAATCAATAATTAATTTTTGTAATTTTAATTTAAATTCTTTAAAGGGTCCAACGCCCTCGCACTCGATTCTAACTTTTTTTCGCATTTATTTTTATTTCTTTTGTGAATATAATGTATTTGCCCCAAAGCTTTGTAATAGATAATTAAGATATTTACTTTCCGCACTTTCATTCAAATCGGGTCTTGGTTTAATTTGGCGATGTAGACCCGCGCCTTGTAATAGCGTAGGACCTTTATGTTTCCGCATTTTAATTTCTGCACCCTTTAAACTGTTAAAACACATGAAAGAATGTATGCTAAAATAAAATCAAAGCGTAGCTCACCCAATGCATGATCAAAACAAATATAACTGAAAATGACACACGATTCACACACCACTCTTAGGGTACGCCTCACTGTTGCCTTACCCTCGAAACGTGGTCATCGAGTACAGGACGTTTTAGTAAGTCCTTATGTCCATAAACATGGCATAAGGGTAGATTCTAAGGTGTCCTACTGTTGCTCTGGTGACCACACTGTCCCTACAAGTTTGAAACGTGGTCGTCAAGTATAGGACGTCTTAGCGGTCCTTATGTCCATGATCCAGTTGCCTCGAAACATTTGCCTCAAAACAGTTGCCTCGGAACAGTTGCCTCGAAACAGTTGCCTCGGATTAAAAAAGGATCAAGGACATAAGGGTAGCTTCTAAGGTGTCCTACTGTTGCTTCGGCGACCACACTGTCCCTAAACTCGAATTGACCCGAACACCTTCAACGGTGGTACTACTTACCTCTCAATGGTGGGATGGCACTACCTAAAGGACACTTACACAACCTAATTCCTTAGGGTAGGTAGATGACTCATAGATACTTGCTTTAATTCAAAACAAATAAAAAAAAAACTTCTTTTCACACCGACACTTTTCAAAAAGCTTTCAAAACAATTTTTCAAACACTCTTGAGGACTGATACAAGAGTCGATCTGAAACTTTAAACGAAACTTTTTCAAACTCACCCACGATTGAAAAGCAAACAAACACTTTTGAAAATACAAATTAGCAAGTATCTAAGAGCCCATGGATAACCATGGATAGAAAGGGTGCTAACACCTCCCCTTCCTATAAATCTACCTCCCGAACCGAGAAACTATCTCATAAGGAATTTTGCTGTGCTTTTGTCCTTTCCATATTGGAGAACATAAAAGACGGTGGCGACTCTTGCTTCCGCGACATTTCGCAAAACCAGCGTTAAACAGTCAGTTCCAGATCCACCGATCACACCTGCGCCTACTCTGCAACCTGTGCCACCTCTTATTCGCCAATGGGGATGGCGACACCTTTTATTTTTGTACTCTTTTGCCAAGTCCAATGATGCCTCCCTTAATGTCCAATCCTGTTACATGCATGCAGAGATGCCTTCTCCAAGGCTGCCACCTAGCCTGCGCCTAATATGCACCTACACTGTAACTTGTAAGTCTTCTCCCATCACCTCCAATAGTGTTACATGCATTCAGGCATGGCTTCTCCAAGGCTGTCACCTAGCCTGCGCCTACTCTGCAACCCGTGCCACCTCTTATTCGCCAATGGGGATGGCGACACCTTTCATTTTTGTACTCTTTTGCCAAGTCTAATGGCGCCTCCCTTAATGTCCAATCCTATTACATGCATGCAGAGATGCCTTATCCAAGGCTGCCACCTAGCCCGCGCCTTCACTACAAGAGTGACACTTATCATGCATGCATGCACCAGCTACCACCTAACTTACTCTATGAAATTTTTTTGCCTATAAATACAGAGCATAACATACTTCTCTCGCACCCACAATCGTCTCACTCTTTGCTACAAAGTCTTTCATAATCTCTTACAATTTCTTAGTCTTTCATAATCTCAGGCATTTTCAACAATGTCGTTAAGGTTGTCGACGTGTCAGTTCAATAACCCAATTCTCTGTGTGAAGAATTGTTGGGTAGGGATATGGTTGAAGGTGGTGGTGCGAGAGGTCAGGGTATACTACTAACTGAGCTTAAAAATCATTATGCAACTTTGGAATTAAACGAAAATTCCTCCGAGCAAGACAGGGTAATAAAACCTAGAACTTATCTAATGATACTATTTGGAACCTTTTTATTTCTCGAAAGTACGGGAAATAGTGTAAATTTTATGTATTTAAATTTACTTAGAGATTTCGAATAAACTAGAAAGTATAGTTAGGATTCTGCTGTTTTAGCCCACCTATACAGTTCCTTGTGCAAAAATGCAATCAAGGAAAAATGTACATTTTATGGCTGCGCTTTTTTACTTCAAGCCTGGGGTTGGTGGAGGATGGAGTCCCTAAACCCCGTCAACAACAACACATTCGTTTTCCCGTACGCAACAAATTAAGTCATCAAGTTATATCATTTATTACTGTTTATTTCTTCACCAAATATATGCTAAAAATAAAATATTTTTCATTTCCTTTAGGTATTGCGTGAGGGGTATGGATTATGGAAAGAATCCAAGATTCAATGTCGCACTATACCGCAATCTATTGGATCACCTAGGCCCGGATGATGTACGTCGTACCTTTTAACTTTTCTACTTTTAAATTATTTATATATTACGTTTTCATTAACCTGATTTAATTTTATGTGCAGTTTGTCTGGAGACCATATTTGGGCTTGGGCCATGAACCAAACCCCGAGGATGCAGCAATTTGGAGCGCCAAGACTGCAATCATACGATTCAATGTTGTGGAGATGCACCACAACGACCGTGTGAAGATGCAGTTCGGAATGCATCAAGAGATACTTAGTGATCCGACTTGTTTGTCCCCGTGGCATCTCAAAAGGGTCGACGCTCAGTGGGGTCTTACCATCTGGAAAGACTTTGCTCCAGAATGGTGTAAGATGTGGCAGAGGCGTCACCGACATGTCTTGCAATTGCCAGTTTTCCTCAATCATGGTAATATGCGACACACAGATCAATATTTATCTTGGTACAGGTCGGTTAGTAACCCTGAAATGCATGTGTCTCATCCAAGGTATTTGGTTGACCCACGAACACAATGGACACAACCCTCGTTTCCCCAACAACAAACGCAACACACATCAACCTCCCACCAACCTCCCAGACGAAACAAAACCACAAACACCCAACCACAGTCGCCACCACAACACAATTACACCCAAATGCCCCACAACCAACCACAATCATCACCTCAGTACCAATACCCCCATATGCCTCACACCTAACCCCAATTTCAATCACAATACCAACACACCCGCATACCCCACACACAATTTCAGTCTTCTGTATATCCCAATATGGGCCCCTCAACATCCAGCCTTAGCCCTGATCTGGGAATGTCAGAAGATTATGAACCAACCGACCAAACTTACCATCAACCACAGTATCACCAAACCACCCAACATCCTCAATACCAAACACCCCAAGATCCATTTCCTTTCTATCCCCCATACTCAGACGATCAATGCTACAGATCCACCATGGAACCCCACCCACCGCCAACACGACCAAACTTTGAGGGTATGGGTAACCGACTGTACCAAAGCGAATCTTCTAGATATGGAGATCTGACTGATTTCGTGGATCCGGAACGCATTGACTTCGCTGGGCCATCGACCCTGCCACAACAGGAAACGCGACGACACCCAGCACGGGAAAGGCGAGGACGGGGATGCGGAACCGGGGGTCATTACCGGGTTCCGAGGGACCACTAATTAATCTGTTTTTTTTAATCTGTATTTTTTTAATGTAATATTTATGGGTGTAATCATTTTTTGTAAATAAAAAGTCAATTTTGTTGATCCTATATCGAATACGCAACGCACCGGATTGAAAAAAAAAACGCGAAAATTGCCCTAGAAATGCACTAAGGCGCCATCTCACTTGGCTTAGGGCAAGCCCTAAGCACCTAGGCGCCAAGTGAGATGGCGCCTCCCCTTAAATAATAGGTGTAGGCGCCAAGTGAGATGACTCATCCTTTAGGGAGTCATCTGAAACATGGTTATTTGCGTAATTTTTTTCTGAAACATAGTTATTTGCAAATTTTTTTTAATACGTGATTATTGCAAAAAAAAATTCTAATAATAAACTAAACATCAATATTATAATTTTCAATTCTAAAAGATCCATGCAGCACAGGTCAACAATGTAGTACACTCTAAAATTAATCACGTTTTAAATACAATTAAAAAAAACCTAAAAACTTTAAATTTAAATAATAAAATCAAAACTATATGCAAAAATAATTGTAAATACTATGATAAATAAATAGATGTTAGTGCCCTAAACTCGTTGAGTTGATCCCTCGTATTGATTGTACACTCATTACAGTGTGTGTGAACCCTAAGCCCCTTTCAGTATAAAATTTGTGTAAAATCTCAGATTAGAACCAATCCTTTTCTCCAGTCTAGGCGATTTCCAACCCTTATTCGTTAAGGTCCCTTATATCTCCATTTGATTTCTTCTTCAACATGCAATGAATCGTTTCATCTTTATTTTTTCTCAAATTATTTAGTGTTTCTTTTTTGCTTGTTACAGTAATCATATTTCAAGGTCACCTTCTTTTCCTGGAACAACTCAATCCGCAGCTTAACAATGGTAATTTGTGAATGTCTTTTCAGTCTAGTATAATAATACGTAAAAGAACATTATACTGTGTTCATGCAAAATTTGGACACTAGTTAACACGCATAGTAACCGTTTTATATTTTGATTTTAGAAGAGTAAATAACTGTGGTGTTTTTATTTATTGAATGAAGTTACATTAGTTTGAGTTTACTATGATTCTTGTATATACACATAGATAAATATATACACTAACCTTGTTTGTTTTCTGGTTCCTGTATGTACCTATATATCTAGCTAAAGGGAAGAAAACAAAGAAAGACTATTCTCAAAACAGTAATTGATATGGTGACGGATAGAATTAGTTGCTTACCCGATCATGTAATAGACCATATTCTGTCTTACTTGCCAATTAGGGAAGCAGTGAGAACAAGTGTTTTATCCAAAATATGGAAGAACAAATGGTACACACTTCCAAATCTTGTGTTTGATAAACATGGTGTCTCTGATGTAGTTAACGAGAGCATGCTTTTGAAAATTGTTGATCATGTACTTTTAGTTCATTCGGGGCCAATCAACATGTTTAAGTTCGCTAACGAAGATCTTCCTGAAATTTTTGAGATTGACATGGATCGGTGGATTCTTCATCTAACCGGAAGGTCTATTAAAGAGCTTGTGCTAGATGTTTGGATAAAAGAAGCACGCTATAAGATACCTTGGTGTTTATTCACTTGTCAAAGTTTACATCATTTAAAATTAAAGTGTTGTTGGTTCAAACCTCCGAAGATGTTTAAAGGCTTCATGAACTTGAAAAGTCTTGAGCTGGATGGGGTAACCGTGGTTCAAGATGATTTTGAAAACTTAATATCCGGTTGCCCCCTACTTGAAAAATTGAAATTGATAGAAGTTGATGGTTTAACCCAAATTAACATTCACGCCCAAAATCTCAAGGTTTTTGAAGTCTTTGGTGAATTTGAGGGTATTAGCCTTGACAACACTTTCGAATTATCTAGGGTAGTTGTTGATTCATGTTGCGATTTGATCTCAGAAGACAATCAAAGTACACTGACTGGAAGGCCTAGCAACTTGCTCAAATTTTTCGATAGTCGACCTCACATAAAGAGCTTAGTGATTGGTATTTACTTTTTAAAGGTATAATACTCGATTATCTAATACCGTTTAATATGAACCACAATCATGTGTACGCATCTCCTGATCTGTATTCTGATTTAGAGCCATTTTCTTTTTCTGCTTTAGTATTTGGCTGCAGGTGATTTGCCAGTAAAGCTTCCTACACCTTGTGTTGATCTAAGCTATCTTTCCTTAAGCATAAACTTCGATGACTTGAAGGAAATTTATGCTGCTCTTTGCTTGCTCAGAAGCTCACCTAATCTTCAAAAATTAGAAATATCTGTGAGTATTCATTTAGTTTGGCTAGCTTGCTGATTTGTGGCTGCACTTGCTTAACAAGTTTTTATTTTTATGTATTTACTAAGCTCTATAGTTTGCAAACTTTTTTGCTTTAAGTATCTGTCTAGTTTTTATCTTTGGAAGTTGGTGTCTAAGACTTGTAGATGTAATTTGCGATATTGCTAATGGGCCTTATGAGTTATGTTGAAATAAACATTAAATGTGTTTTGAAATAAATGATTAGTATTAAGTATGGTAGTAAGAAAGACAATAGTTTTATTTAGTAGTTATGTAGCAGTTATGTTTTAGAATTGTAAGAGTTTGTTTGGGTCTATAAAAGACCAAGTATGTAATTCATTTATCAAGAGCAATATACAAGAAGTCAAAAATATACAGGAAGTCTGATATATATTCTAACAATTTGGCATCAGAGCTCATGGCGAACATGATGAACCAAATGCCGTTACCACGGCTGACGAAGTCAAACTATGAAAACTGGAGTATCCAAATGAAAGCTCTTCTTGGATCTCTAGATGCGTGGGAAGTGACCAATGATGGGTTTGAAGAACCAACAGAAATTGGGGGATTTACAGCAGCCCAAACGAAGGCGTTGAAAGAGACGCGAGCGAAGGACAAAACATCACTATATATGTTGTTCAGGACTGTGGATGAATCAGGCTTCGAGAAGATTGCTAGTTCGACTACGTCGAAACAAGCGTGGGACACGTTAGAGAAGGTGTTCAAAGGAGCAGACAGAGTGAAGCAGGTTCGACTCCAAACGCTTCGTGGCGAATTGGAGAGAATACAAATGAAGGATACAGAAAATGTATCTGATTACATCACTCGTGTGCAGAAAGTGGTGAATCAACTCACAAGAAATGGAGAGACAGTAGCTGATGCAAGAGTTGTTGAAAAGATCTTAAGATCTTTAACAGACAAGTTTGAAAATCTGGTGTGTGCAATAGAAGAATCGAAGGACCTTTCGACGCTCTCAATCGAAGAGCTCACTGGTTCGCTCGAAGCACATGAACAAAGAAAGATGAAGAAGAAAGAAGAGGCAGAAGAAGAAGCAAACCAAACAAAAGAATCGAAAGATGAAAAAGTACTCTTTTCGAACAACTTTCGAGGAAGAGGACGTGGACGTGGAGGACGTGACAGTGGTCGAAGTGGTAGAGGCAGTAACTTCGAAAGAGGAAATTCGAGCCAACAAAACTGGCGTGGCAGAGGACGTGGCCAAAGAGGTGGTCGTTCGAATTATTCAAATTTCGAATGCTACAAGTGTGGCAAGTATGGCCATTACGCGAAGGATTGCAACTCCTACAAATGTTACAACTGTGACAAAGTGGGACATCTTGCAAAAGACTGTCGAAATGAAAAGAAGACTGAAGAGACAACCAATCTGGCCCTGGAAGCTGAATCGAATGAAGGGTTTCTCCTGATGGCCCAAAACGAAATCAACACCAATGACAGTATTTGGTATCTTGACTCAGGAGCAAGTAATCACATGTGTGGTTACAAACACCTGTTTAAAGATATGAAGGGAGTTGAAGATGGCAGTGTGTCTTTTGGAGATGCATCGAAGGTGAAAGTTGAAGGAAAGGGCACAATCAGCTATTTGCAGAAGGATGGCTTGATTGGGTCAATCGAAGATGTCTACTATGTACCAGATCTTAAGACCAACATATTAAGTCTGGGACAACTCACAGAAAAAGGTGCTTCGATCCTGATGAAAGATCGAACACTGCAGTTGAAGGACAAAGCAGGATATCTGATTGCTGCTGTCGAAATGGAGAGAAATCGAATGTACAAACTTAACTTGAGGAACATTCGAGAGAAATGTCTGCAGATCGAAGTGCAAGACAAAGCGTCACTGTGGCACATGCGCTTTGGTCACCTGCATCATGCTGGTCTGAGAAGGTTGGCAAAAAGGAACATGGTGCATGGATTACCAGACATGGAGTTCGAAGGAAAATTCTGTGAAGAATGTGTGCTCAGCAAACAAACAAGAACTTCATTTCAGAAGAAGGCAGAGTATCAAGCTAAACAAATACTCGAATTGATACATACTGATATATGTGGGCCAATTACTCCAGAATCCTTCAGTGGAAAAAGATACTTCATTTCCTTCATTGATGACTACTCAAGAAAAACCTGGGTCTATTTTCTGAAAGAAAAATCTGAAGCACTAGAAGTGTTCAAGAAGTTCAAAGTAATAGTTGAAAAGGCAACAGAAGATTCCTAACAGTATACTTCGATTGCCTTTGTGAAGTACTGTGAAGAACAGGGCATAAGAAGATTCCTAACAGCGCCATATTCACCTCAACAAAATGGTGTGGCTGAAAGGAAGAATCGAACTATCTTTGACATGGTTCGATCAATGCTTAAAAGCAAGAGTATGCTGAAAGAGTTCTGGGCAGAAGCAGTACAATGTGCTGTTTACATTCAGAATAGGTGTCCACATTCGAAGCTGGAAGGCAAAACACCACAAGAAGCATGGAGTGGACAGAAGCCAACAATCTCTCATCTAAAAGTTTTTGGTAGCATAGCTTACGCACATGTACCAGACCAACGAAGAACAAAGCTTGAAGACAAAAGTCAGAAGTTCATATTCATTGGATATGATGAGAAGACGAAAGGGTACAAGCTTTTTAATCCCATAAGTAAGAAAGTGATTGTAAGCAGAGACGTTCGAATGAATGAAGCCAGCAAGTGGGACTGGAACAGTTCGACAGAGGCTGTTGATACAGTCGAAGAAACAACTATAGATGTACCAACAAACACTCCAGAAGAACATGAAGAAACAGAAGATAGAGATGAACCTCTACAACCCAGAATGAGAAGTTTGCAAGATCTGTATGATTCAACAAGTGAGGTGCATCTTGTGTGTCTTCTGGCAGATGCTGAAAACATAAGTGTTGAAGAAGCGTTAAGAGATGAGAAGTGGAAAAGCGCCATGGACGAAGAAATTAAAGCAATCGAACACAACAAAACTTGGGAGCTGGTCGAATTACCAAAAGGAAGTCAACCCATTGGTGTAAAGTGGGTATTTAAGAAAAAGATAAACGCTCAAGGAGAGATCGAAAGATACAAGGCACAGCTGGTTGCAAAGGGATACAAGCAGAAAGTTGGCATTGACTATGACGAAGTGTTCGCGCCTGTTGCAAGAATGGAGACAATTCGATTACTCATCTCTCAAGCTGCTCAGTTCAAATGGCAAATATTTCAAATGGATATCAAGACAGCATTTTTGAATGGTGTGCTCGAAGAAGAAATCTATGTCGAACAACCACTTGGATACATGAGAACTGGAGAAGAGAAGAAGGTGCTGAAACTGAAGAAATCATTGTATGGGCTGAAGCAAGCACCTAGGGCATGGAACACACGCATTGACACATATTTTAAGGAGAGTGGATTCGAGCAATGCCCTTATGAACCAGCCCTCTATGTGAAGAAAAATGGAGGTGATTTATTTACTTGTGGCTCTGTACGTTGATGATCTTATTTTTCTAGGCAATAATGTTAAGATGATCGAAGACTTCAAAAACACCATGACAAGAGAATTCGAAATGACAGACTTTGGTCTGATGAGATTTTTCCTTGGTCTGGAGGTTCGACAGGAAGAAGCTGGGATTTTCATATCACAAGAAAAGTATGCAAAGGAAATTCTAGAAAAATATAAGATGAAGAATTGCAATCCAACTTCGACGCCAATGGAGCCAGGCACAAAGCTGTCGAAGTTTGATGGAGGAGAACGGGTCGAAGGAAGCAAATATCGAAGCTTGGTAGGCAGCCTTCGATATCTCACATTCATAAGGCCAGATATTTCACTAAGTGTTGGCATAGTGAGCAGATACATGGAGGAGCCAGTTCACACACACTGGAAAGCGCTGAAACGAATTCTGAGATACTTCCAAGGAACAGTATCACTTGGGATGTTTTATTCAAAGACTGAAGACTACAAGCTAGTTGGATATTCTGACAGTGACTGGTGTGGAGACATTGATGATCGAAAGAGCACTGCAGGATATGTGTTTTTCATGGGAAACACAGCTTTTACATGGCTATCGAAGAAGCAGCCTATAGTGACACTTTCAACGTGTGAAGCAGAATATGTGGCAGCATCCTGGTGCGTCTGCCATGCAGTATGGCTCAGAAGGTTGATAAGTAAGATGGGGCTGAAACAGGAAGGTCCAACAATAATACACGTGGACAACAAATCAGCTATTGAGCTGGCAAAGAATCCAGTCAATCATGAACGAAGCAAGCATATAGACGTTCGATTTCACTTCATACGTGAACATGTGAAAGAGGGAAGCGTGGAACTAAGGCATGTAGCCAGCATAAACCAAGCAGCAGATATCTTCACAAAACCACTATCAAGGAAGTATTCGAAAGAGGCAGAAAGATGATTGGGATGCTTGATCGAAGAAGCATTTAATGTTTAAAGAGGAGTTTTGTTGAAATAAACATTAAATGTGTTTTGAAATAAATGATTAGTATTAAGTATGGTAGTAGGAAAGACAATAGTTTTATTTAGTAGTTATGTAGCAGTTATGTTTTAATTTTATGTTTTAGAATTGTAAGAGTTTGTTTGGGTCTATAAAAGACCAAGTATGTAATTCATTTATCAAGAGCAATATACAAGAAGTCAAAAGTATATAGGAAGTCTGATTCATATTCTAACAAGTTAGTTACACTGTTACTGCAGTAGATTCTTATAAAACAAGACTAGTGTACCTCATTTTCTATCTTTTATCAATCAATACAATGCTACCTTTAGATTTTAATATGATTTGTATATACTATTTCCCCCCATTTGATCCATGGATTTGTAACAATTGCATGTAGGCAAAGATTCATCGGGATAATGTCCCTTTGACACCTGTCAGTGACGGCTATTCTTGGGAAGGAGTATTTTCGAGGCCAGCCACACCCATCCAAGTGCGACATGTAACAATATATAGCATCTCCGGCTTTCAACCTGAACTAGATTTGATCAAATTTCTACTTCTCTATTCGCCTGTGCTAGAAAAGATAATTGTGAAGCCTCATGTAAATGCCGGAGTGGAGTTGCTTACCGAACTTGTTCGGTTCAAAAGAGCGTCAGGAGAAGCTGAAGTTATTTATGACATTCAAAAGAGCGTCAGAAGAAGTTATTTATGACGAGAAAGACTGTTCATAATGATTTGCATTATTCACAAGTTCTCTAATATATTATGACTTTTAAGGCTATTATGAGTGAAGTTAAACTTTTTAATTAAGTGGCAAATTAAGAGCGATTAACACTATGTAGTGTTCTCCAAATTATTGTTTGCATTTTTGAGTTCAAACATCTTACTTTTTAAGTTGTATGCTGGTGCTATATATATATTTTTGGTATGTATCGTCTATTTTCAAGATTCACACTCAAAACCAATTCAAAAATCAAGCTTCCATTGTAATTCAGAAGCTGAGTCTGAAGTTGAATAGAAGCTTAGAAAGATTAAAAGAATCTGATAATGCTAGAAAGATTAATGAGAAACCTAATATTTTCCAATAGAAAGCTTCAATGACTTTGAAGAACCCTAAATAGTTTTTATTCAGTGGCATGTTTTTTTAGTAATTGTTTTACAAAATAGAATTTACAGGCTGGTCTGCAATTTTATATTGTATGGGTTTCTTTTGAGGAAGAAAATGTAGAAAAACTCTAAAAAATTATTTGGGATTTAAAGGATTAATAGGAGAAACAGAAACTTAAATGACCTCTCTATTTTTTGTTAATTTGGAGTTGTGATACTAGCAAAAGTTAAGGACACCTTAGTGTTTATCAGTCGCATGAACCTTTTTTTAGTTTATAAAATGAGCAAAACTAAACGAACTGACATAATTTATTCCTTTAAAAAACAATAATGTTTATATAATATACAGGTATTATTATTATTTTTAAGATTATTAACAAAGTAGTAATAACTAGTATACACTCATATATACAAGTAGAAATTTTTTTACTTCCGAATTATGTGATTCAAATCACAAATTGTGTGACTCAAGTCATATAAATGAGTTCTTATATGTTCATTATTTTTTATTTAAATTACTTAATTTTTTAATTATAGTCATACCTCTAGTTTGTGATTCGAAATTATACACTATTTTTTATCATTTTTGTGCTAAATCTCAAATATATATAAAAGTTTTTTCTCTCAAATCTCAAAAAGATATTGGAAAACATATACTTCTACTATTGATTTGAAAACTCACTACTCACTTGTTCTCTCATTTTCGAAAGAGATTTTTTAAACTTTTTTGAATGCTTGCAAATGATTTCTTTCAACTTCTATCTCATCCTAATTCCATTTTGGTGTGGGTCTAAATCTCATCTTTGGAGATTTGCGACTATTGAGGAATTTTTTATTGTGTTTAACGTTTCTTTGAATATTTTCTTGAGATTTAGAGATTTTAAAAGGTGTGTAGGGTTTTGGCTGCTGTTGACAAGTCCAACAGAAAAGAAAGAGGTTCTTCTCTCAATAATTACTTTGATAGTGCTAAGCGGAAGCCTACAAATGAAGTGGAAGTTCTTTTCAATCTTTAGACAAACCAACGCTTAAGATACCGATAAGATTGAAGAAAGATCACTATAAATTAAAATAGAGACTTTGG